TTTTGAAATCTTACCTTTACTGGTTTTTTCAATATCTTGATTTTTGTAAGATGGCGTTCTGAAAGAAATGGCAGTTTGTTTGTGCACGTTGCTAATTTAAAATAGCCATAGTCTTCCCAGCAAACTAAACCATCCTGCTCTTCAAAAAATCTCACGGTAATATCATCTTTGTTCACCTAAAATCCCAAATTAGTATTAAATACTGTACATTATATATTCAATTCAACGCTTTTCTAATGATATTAGTTGACACAAAACTAATCAATTAATTATTATAATTATTTTTAATTATCACAAAAAATTATTACAAAATATCTTTGATGTAGGTACCTAATTTTAAATAATCTAAGTTCATAAGTTTTTAAGTATTTATTATTTGCGTAATTTGAATTTATTTATTAATGCCGTTAAATTTGCAAAAGGTTGAAAACCCTATAAAAAGATTGACTATTACTTCATAAGCTAACTCAAATGAAGGTAATTATTTAAGAATAACCATTTGAAATAAATATTTAATTAATTAGTAATAATGAAATACTATTAGGTTTTAACTACTAGGAACATTAATTCCATACCCATACCGCGATGATTCTCAATATGTTACCTTTTCGCATAATAGAATTATTTTCTGGCCTCCCGCCGCGGACGCCGTGCATTGGCTGAGTTCACATATAACTAAATCTGATGTTGATTTCTTGTCATAAATAGGCTCAGAGACAACTGGACGTAAAGGGATCGTAAATTTACCATGGGCATCGCCCTCGAGGATGACTTGGAAACATAAACGCACGGCGTTCAAATCTATACTGCTAGGTTCGGAAGCGTGAGAAAACCCAGCTGAAAAATATTACTATTAATTTACATAATGATAAATTTAAATAAAAAATAATATAAAAAAATTGCTTACTTCTAAACGGATCTACGTTGATGTCTTCTCGTAGTTTGAGAGATTGTTTGATGTCTTTCTTTTTGACGCATTGCACACCTAAGTTGTTGAAAGTGATTGTCATGTCGTTAGCTTCTTCAATTTTTGCTGTGCACACACCTTTTGTACACCAATCTTTTCCGACTAAATTGTGGGGATGAGGTCTGAAATTCATTTTAGTTATTATTGAGCGTGGCGAAAGAAGCATATACAGAAGTACGACCAGTTCATCTTAAGAGAAAACTTCCGAATAATCTAACAAACACCAGTATGTGTTGCATATCAATATCATTGAATAAAATTTACAAGCGTATATGAATAAAAAAAATGGTTAGGTGTGTGTATACAGTATATGTCTGCGTAACTGGATGCAAACTAGAATCCTTTAACATACCTGTACGGTTTGTCTTTAGAAACGCACGAAACTACAACCAGCGCTCGTCCTTTATAGCCCACAACCTGGATCGAAGGAAACGTCCTGTATTCTGGCGTACTGTTTATGCCAGGGATTGAGCCAGCTGATCTACCTTCGCACTCATAACGAAATCTATAAAAACAATACAATGATATTAATCAATCAATGATCATATTTTCTGTAAACAAATTCATATGCAAATCGATCAAGATTTTTCAAATTTGTGATAAACTACAAAGATTGTGACAAAAACTTAAAATTCGTAACCGATTAGAAATTGTTGAAACTAATACAAGATTCATCGTTTCGATTTTATTCCTACTGATGGGGAGACGTGATGATTTTGGCTAATTGTAAGATAAGTGGTTTGAGAGATACGGAGCTATGTGATTCAAACTAGTGGTGTATGGCATCGTGTCGGGCAAATTGCTAGAATTTCCCGTACCAAAAATAAAAATATAAAAATATATATATTTTGAGAAATTAGATTTTGAGAAATTTTAATTTTTGAAATAAATTGGCTTTATTAGGAAAAAAAAACTTTTAATAAAATGTTTTTTTCTATTTTGAAATATTTAGGAAAGTTTGAACTTTTTGTTCAAAGAATCGCACTGCTTTAGCTGCATAGAGACGAAATATCGAAGCGCGTAAGCGCCGCGCTGCTATCTAACGGCAAACGATGTTACGGAACCCATAGAAATGTAAACAAAATTGATACATATTATTAAAATCTCCATAAAATATCTGATAATTTGATATGCATATATCTAATGATCATTTTTGTCCGCCAAATTGCATTTTTTTACTTTTTTCACTAGATCTTCGAAACTGCTAAACTGCCTTACCTTAATCAGTACTTCATCTTGTCAATACAAGTTTTTTGAATTATTAAAATCGAACGCCTTGACCTAAAAACTATTTTTATTTGTATGCTCTTATTTTAATATGCTCCATAATAAACCAAAATTTGCGAAGTCATTTTTGATTATCTGTTTAAAGTTTAAAAAGGCTTGATAAATATGCACGTCTATTTTTTTTTAAATTTGATTAGAAATTAATAAATTAATTTCAAACAAGTACGAAATAGATTCAATGAGTAGTTATTAGATAAAATATAGTAGATTCTTCACACGATAAAATAAATATGTGTTAGGTTGAAGAGCAACTTCCGAAAAACCATTGGAAATAATCGTTTGTGATCACCAAACAAATTCCGAAACATACAAATATTTAATAACATAAAAAATTAAAAAGTAGTCTATGAAGAAAATAATTTTAGACTTAACTAGTGAGGCGCATGGCATCGTGCCTCAAGGCAAATTGCTGGAACCTCCCGTACCAAATTCCTTTTTTTAAAAGATTAACATTTTTGAAAAAAAATTACTCTGAAAAAATTCGATTTTTGAGAAACTATAAATTATTGACAAAAATTTACTTTTTTTTTAAAAAAAAAAGAGTTTTTGAAGAAAAATTTATTTTGAAATATTTTGGATATTCTGAACTTTTTTTCAAAGCAATCGTACTGCTTTAACTGCAAGAAGACCAAATATCGAAGCGTGTAAGCGCCGCAATGCTGTCTAACGATTAACCTTGGTACGGAACCCATAGGAATGTAAACAAAATGGGTACTTATTGTTGATATATCTATAAAATATCTGATAATTTGATGTGCATATGTCTAATGATCATTTTTGACCGCCAAATGGCATTTTTTTACTTTTTTTACTAGATCTCCGAAACCGCTAGACCTCTTGTTAATACCAGTAAAATGTTTTTTGAATTATTCAAATCGGACGCTTTCAAATTACCGTTTTTGCAAAACTCAGCATTTCCTTTTCAATACGAATCGATGTTGTTATTCAAGCGCACACACCGTGTTTTCACACGAAAATACGTACACACATACGCACACACACACATGCACACACACACACATACATCCATTTTTCTAAGATATGCCAAAATGTTCAGAAGGTTTTGAAACGCAAAGATATAAACAATTTTTTATTTTCGATTTTTTTGCAATTACTATAACTTGCCCTAGGGGAAGTTAAAAATTAATAATTAAGTTACAATTAAAATAAAATTGATAAGAAATGAAACATAAATTCCTAAAATAATAAACCCTTCCCTTAGTAAACTAAGTATTTCTTATCAATATTAAAACAAAAATATAATTTTTATTACCTTAAAGCTTTCGGGGCAGGTTGTTCTATTATTCTAACATAAGCGTTCTTTTTAATTTGCGCGGGCGTTGCTGTGTTTTGGGTGGGCGTAACAGGCGAAGGCACCGTAGCTCCTTCTGGTAATTCCGCGTTCCTGTAAGGCTGGTTTATGTAACCTGGTTCTGCACTCTGTGCCTGACCTAGAAATATAATTATGTAGTTGGTGCATATGTTTATCAATCATAAAATACCTATTTCATCTTGAAAAATAAACATTTATATTTAAAATAGATTTTCCATATTTATCTATATTCATAATATAGAAAATTATAATATAGATAGTCATATATTGTTATCAATATTTTATGAATTTTCCCTTATTATTATAATTAAAAATTAAATTAAAGTTTAAGTACAACAAAAAATATAAGTCAAAATTAAAAGTTTAGTTTTTTTTAGATTTCTGGGTGCTTTGATAAATTATATACAAAAAGTACTTGTTTATACTAAATAAAGCATAGTAAGTTTTCACAAATTTATGAAGTTAAGAAATTTTTCGCTTTTTTCAATTCCAAACACTATTTTAATGTAAATTAAATTAAATAAGTTATAATGTAATATTTAATTTTGATTAGATATTACTAGTTATTTCTTATTTAAATAATTTTTGCAGAAATTATAACCATATTAATTAATTGTTGCTAAAATAATATAATAACTCATTTTAATAAATCTTACATTTTCTGCAACATTTTATTAACCTAATGATACAAAATAATTGTATCAGTAGCAGTACAGAATATTTATTTAATTTTAATAAAAACGTATTAATGTAATATGATTATATCAAATTGCACATGCCTAATGCTTTAACAGAAGAAAATATAAATAACGATTTATTAAAACAACAAACAGATTTCTATAAAAAAAGTGTACATATTAAGCTGATTCGAGGTTATACTGCATTTACAACTAAATTCGACAGATGTTTCCTTCATTCGCATTATTAAGACTTTAATTAGGAGAAAAATTACTTTTTTGATACTTTTGGGTTATTTTTTACCACAGCTTAGATTTATTTTATGCGATTTCTGTCACACTACAAACAATTGTTATTACAATTCGGATAATGGTTGCATGCGTAATATTATGTATTTTTATGAATTAAGAAAATAGCTTCTTACTTGATTTTTTTTTAAATTAAACTAAAATATTAATATAGTACTTACTCATTCTATATTTCTTCATATCCATTGCGACTTCTACCCTAAATTTCACCACTAATATCACAGAAAACACTTAAATATTATCTATAATCGTTTCAAAATATTATAAAAAAACTAATTTATTATCACAACCTCGTATTCATATTTTTATTTTTGGCATATCAAAATCCCAGTGTCGAGGAAAGTCCAAAATAAATTTTGAAATTTCCGAAAAAACTCCCGACAATACACCTTGCACACGATCATTTAAACTGGAAATTCCGAAACCGACTGTTCGATCTTGGTGACCGCACGGGAGTGAGAAGAGTTTCGTTCGGGCACATCGGGAATTTTGGAAAAGTGGGTAACACTCATAAAAATTTAAATCTTCAAATTACGGATCAAGCACGCCTACCAGTGTACTTAACCAGTTTGCTGATTGGGTTATAACGGGTACTTAAGGTACCTCTCCACTTTGGATTTCACCCCACAATAAAAATGTTAGGTACCTGTCGGAATACCCTATTGTAGTTTTTGATATTATAATCGCAGAGATTATCTGTTGCCTCGAATTTATTACTACCAACGAATTGGTCTTTGCAAGCAATATACCAGGGCCGTAATAAGTAATATCATTAATTTATCAGGTATGGTATAATTTTATAAATTTTCTTGGCAATGTATAGTATACAGTATGAAAATATATAAATATACGATCGATAAGACTTTGATTTGTTTTAATTTGTTTTGTGTTTCTAATTAAGAACTAGTAAACTAATTAAGAACAAGAATCTTTCTTTAAAATACAATGTTCGTTTTTCGCTTTCCGAATGAAGTGCTTATTTTGGTTTTATAGCAAGTTATAGTAATCGCAAAAAATTGAAAATGAAAATTTTTAAATATCTTTACATTTCAAAGGTATCCGAACGATTTGGCATATCCTAGAAAAAAATTGATGTATGTGTGTGGGTGTAGGTGTGTATGTATGTGTGTATGTATGCGGATACAATTATTTGTCGACAATTTCGAGAACACCGATCAACCGATTTGAATAATTCAAAAAACATTCGATTTCTATCGATAAGTTTTTGACAAAGGCAGGTTCAGCAGTTTCGAAGATACGGGGCAAAAAATGCCAAAAATGGTGATTCACTTTTTGATAGAACGGAGCGTCCGAGTTGTAGATTCAAAAAACATTTTATTTGTTTGACGAAATGAGGAACTGATAAATATTTTTGGGGAAAGCAAGTTTGGCAGTTCCGGAGATCCAATAAAAAAGTGAAATAAAATGACATTTGGCAGATAAAAATGATCATTAGACATATGCACATAAAATTATGAGACATTTTATAGATATTTTAATTATAAGAACAAATTTTGTTTACATTTCTATGAGCCTCGTACCAATGCTTATCCGTTAGACTGCGACGCGGCGAACACGCGCTTCGATATTTCGTTTCTACGCAGCAAATGTATCGCGATTGCTTTGAAAAAAAAGTTCAAAATATCCAAAATATTTCAAAGTATAAAAAAAAAATCAATTTTTTCAAAATGGTCAACTTATTTCAATTCTTAAAAATGTATTTTTTTCAAAGTTTAAAAAAAAAATGAATCATGTTTAACAATTAAAATTTTTGGTACGGGAAGTTCCAAAAGCTGAAGGCTTTGCTTTAAGTTGGTTCAGCCTTTGTTTCATTGGGTTCCATATAACGCAGTACAAATTTTGGTTTTTTTTTGGCAGTACAAAACGATAGCCGCTTTCCACACAACGCGCGTTACGAATTAAGAGCTTGGTTTGTACGTTACTTAAAGCCGTTGTCAATTTAGGACTCAAAACTAAATAATTCTAGAGCCCTAATTTAGTCTTCTTCGTATTATGTGTATGGACAACTATTTTAAAAAGTTGTAACAGTATTTCATTTTATTAATAGTATATATTACAAAGAGAACGGAAATAACTTACATTGATAATCGTAAATACACAGCACATTCTGTATTCAATACAAACCTTAATTGCTGATACTTTTATTGTTATGTAGTTTGCAACTATTACTAATACACTTAATATTCCTGTTTATTAGTATTTGTTGATGGAGATCGTCGTTTATAACCATAGAACATACTTTGAAGAATAGTAAGATTTTAACAACAATAGTGTTCTATTCGTATTTAAAAGATATTAGCAAGTAGCAAGTTCATGAAATAAAATATATGAACTCTGAAGAAATATATTGCTTCAATAAGTTATAATTTTATTTACATTCTATAAAATAGAAACTTGTATTATAATTTCCAGTTCGACTCTGGCATCACCTGCAAATGCCGACCTATGTACAATTTTCAAATGTACAGCTTATAGCATCGCACACCTGTTACTAATTGAAAGGCTTTATTAGTTCTGTGCATAATAAAATTCTCTGAAATTCCAAAATCCGTAATTGTAAATTTTATAATAAAATAGTTGGTATTGGTATTTTGCCTTAAGGCAAGTTACATGAACTTCCCGATATGTGTAAATAATCGACTTAATCAATAAAAAATAAATTAATTTATGAGTGATTAAAAGTATTCCGAATGCATTTATTACACATAATTGAAAACGAACAAACACGTTTACTTGGTAATTTCTTAAAGCAAATTTTCATAATCAATAATTTTTATAATTGAACCAGTTTCCGTAGGACTTTAATGGTTTAGTATGTTCATTAAGGCCAAGTACTCTCGTACAAACGTCAAAAAACACTATTTTTTTCAAACTTTGATGAATTTTTAAAATTAAACTAACTATTGTCGTAAGGCCGTAATATTTGAGTAAATTCTATAAGTAACAAAAGTAACTAGTGGTGCATGGCATCGTATCTTAAGGCAAATTGCTGGAACTTTCAGTACCAAAAATTTGTTACATAAGATTCAATTTTTTTTGAACTTTGAAAAATTTTATATTTCAATAATTTTATTTATATATGTATAATTTTAATTTTTTGATATTTTAAAATATTTTGGAAAATTTAATTTTTTTTAAATATCGCGAAAAAAAGTTACATAAAAATTGGGTTAAATTTTTTTCAACAGTTAATTACAAGAAAACGGTTTGGTAGATTTTCACCGAAAACTAATCAGTATCATTCCCAACTAATATCTTTCGAAAAGTTGTTGATATTTTAAAATCGATTTGGTAGTATGAGCTTAAGGGGTTACACCACTCTAGCAGTAAAAAAACACGTATGTTTTTGCCATTTTTTTCGGATGGAAGAAAAAGTATTAAAATCATGATATTAAAGATAGTTATTTATTGTACTTCCGAAAAAAATGGCAAAAACATACGTTTTTTTTACTGCTAGAGTGGTCAGTGGCGTAACTATAGGGTGGCGTGGGTGGCAAAAGGCCACGGGCCCCCGACCCAAGGGAGCTTTTTATCTTTTGTTTTTTGTTTTATGCGATAAAGAGCTGCGATGGATCTGCATTCGAAAATCTTTAGTTTGTATATATGATATGATATGAATAAATGAATTTATTATTGTATATATAATTAAACTTTATCGACTTTTGAGATAATAACCGAACACGCGAAGAACTCTTTTCTCAATATTCAAAGAATACAGTATTGTTATATTTTTGTGTTATTTAATATAAATCATTTAACTCATCATTTGCCAGAGAAATTTAGTTAATAAATCTAAATAAAAGTATTGAAACTTTTCAATCAGGGGTATTGATTAAAACATGAATTTTTATAAAGATCGAACGTTACTACTCAATAACTTAATCAATAAACAGTAATTAACAGTAAAAAAGAAATGGTAAATGGAAGGATATGTAATAATTACGTTTAAGAAAGTTGTATGTTCTTTTTATTTTCATTAAAAAATACGTTTTATTTTAATTTCCATTTATTTTAACGTTGAAAATATTCACCAATATTTCATGTTTGATTTTCAAGAAAATTCAGTTTTATGTATTTTTTGTTATTTTTCTATAATCACAACTAAATTAAGAAAAAAATTTACCTCTAAACCAATACTTCACTTTTCTACCTTTTATATAATTTCATAATTTAAAGCCATAAAATATAAATTAGTCGAAGTTGGTTTGCTAATTTGTGATAAAGTTGAATAAAAGTCGTTTTAGCCATTAGTAAAACAGCATGTAAATAACTACTTAACGTTTATTATCGCTTAGCCGATCGTGGCACAAAACCGACAAACGTGCTCAAATAGTCCTCATGGAGATACATCGAACGGCTTTTAAATTTTTGAAATCGGTCCAGCCGTTTTTGAGAAAATGTCGATTTACGGCAAAAAATTTGTTCACATACACGCGCGCACACAGCACACATACTTTTTCCACATTTGGTCTCATTCGATTCAGAATGGCTTGAAACGTCGAGAAAACATAAACTTCTTCTTCGGGACGTTAATAATTATGCATTTTAGTATGTTCAAAACAGCTTTTACTTTGATATGCCAACGATTTTACTACACTAATATTAATTAACTTCCCTTAGAGTAAGTTATTGTAATAGTCCAAAAAACGTAATCGAAAACGTTTGCCTTTCTTCACGTTTTGAAGGTTTCTGAACATTTTGGCATACTGCATAAAAAATGGATGTGATGTATATGTGTGTGTGTGTGGGTGTATGTAAGGTTTTCAAACTTTATTGTAGAGCAGTCGTGGCCGAGTGGTTGAGGCGTCTGACTTGAAATCAGATTCCCTCTGGGAGCGTAGGTTGGAATCCTGCCGACTGCGTTTGGTTACATTCAAATTATATTTCTTAAGTGATATTTTAATGCAGTAGAGCAATACTAATGACATTCAAATTTGTTTTGTGGAACAGTCGTGGTTGAGTGGTTATGGTCTCTAACTCGAAGTCAGTTTTTCTCTGGGAGCGCGGGTTCGAATGTTATATCAAATTGTATTTTTTTAGTTACTTTACTGCAGTGCAGTCGTGGGCGATTGGTTAAGGCGCCTGATTTGAAATCGGATTCTCTCTGGGACCGTAGGTTCCAATCCTACCGACTGCGGTTGGTTATATTTTACCAAACTATATTTTTAAGTGATTTTGCTTGGCTCGCCCGTAGGTAAGCGGTTAAGAGCGGCGGGACTTGTTTCAGAGGTCCCGGGTTCGATACCCACTTCGAGTAGCCTGTTGTCAGGCAACATTGACAACGATTTTCACTTGGAAATATAGATAGCAATATGTTTCTAAGTGAAAATAGCCCTCACCCGGCATTGTTGCACCATTCTTGCCCTATTACAGTGATTGTAATAAAAATTTATCATACAGAGATGTGACAACTGTTTGGGTTGCCATCTGTAATAAAAACAAACGTAGTTTGTAAGATATTGATCGCAACAGCTCGTAGAACCCAAAAGTTCTGGTCGCTGTTCAAATAAAATTATAAAAAAAAAGTGATTCTGCTAATGCAGTATCAACAGCATTCAAATTTATTTCGTAGAACAGTCATGATTCAGTGGTTGTTCTCTCTGACTCGAAGTCGGATTTTCTCTGGCAGCAAGGTTTCGAATGTTATATCAAATATTTTTCAGTTTTTCTTTAATGCAGTACTGTAATACCAAAAGATTTCAGGGTTTTTCGTAGAGCAGTCGTGGCCGAGTGGCCGAATCGAAATCAGATTCTCTGTGGCAGCGTAGGTTCTAATCCTGACGATTGCGATTGGTTACGTTTTAACGAACTATATTTTTAAGTGATTTTTCAAATGCAGTGGAGCAATACTAACATTCAAATTTCTTTCGTAGAACTGTCATGGTTGAGTCGCTGTGGCCTGTGACTCGAAGTCAGATTTCTTCTGGGAGCGCGGGTTCGAATGTTGTATGAAATTATATTTTTAACTTCCCGAAGGAGAAGTTTATGTTTTCATAAAAAAATCCGAATTGCTAATTTTATGTTTTCTCGACGTTTCAAGCAATTCTGAATCGAATGAGACCAAACTTGGAAAAAGTTTATGTGTGTGTGTGTGTGAACACATTTTTTGCCGTAAATCGACGTTTTCTCGAAAACGGTTGGACCGTTTTCAAAAATTTAAAAGCCATTAGATGTATCTCGGTGAGGACTAGCGTTTCTAAGTTTTGTGCGACGATCGGCCGAGCCGTTTCTTTGTAAATCGCAGAAAAGTGAAAAATTTTCGTCCACGTTTTAGCCCGCAATTCTGAATCGATTTTGAAAATTCAAAAACTGTTCGAAACATATTGGTTGGGAATCGACCTGATTAGTTCTTGGTGAAGATCGGCCGGGCCCTTTTCTTGTAATAAAGTGTTAAAAAAAATTTTTTCGACGATTTTCACGATTTTTTTTTTACGGTAGATACCATAGTCTTATAGATCATACTAAAATATTACGGTCCTACGACAAGTCGTTTTCTTTTAAAAAAAATCGTCAAAGTTTGCAAAAATTAGTGTCGTTTGTCAAAATTACAACTTTCATCGACGTTTGCCAAAATTACAACTTTCATCGACGTTTGCTCAAAAACGTCTGAACCGATTTCAAAAATTTAAAAGCCAATCGATGTATTTTGATGTGGATTATTTTTTGTCAGTTTTGTGCAGCGATCGGCCGAGTCATTTCTTTGTAAATTGGAAAAAGGTGTTAAACTTTTCGTGCACATTTAAGCTCATACTACCGAATCGATTTTCAAAAATGAAAAACCGTTCGAAAGATATCATTTGGGATTGATACTGATTAGTTTTAGTTGAAAATCTATCGAGCCGTTTTCTTGTAATTCACTGTTGAAAAAAAAATTAAGCCGATTTTTATGGAACTTTTTTTGGCGATATATATCCTGGTCTTATAGAACTTACTAAAATATTACGGCCTTACGACAAGTAGTTTAATTCTAAAAATTCATCAAAGTTTGGGAAAATGAGTAGTTTTTTTGACGTTTGTTAAAATTAAAATTAGACGATTTACTTGGTATAACGATAGAGTGTTCGTTCGTTTTCAATTATGTGTAATGAATCCACTCGAAATACCTTTAATCACTCATAAATAATTTATTTTTAACTTCCCGCAGGGTAAGTTGTTGTAATGGGCCGAAAATCGAAATTGAAATTTTTTACATTTCTCGACGTTTTGAAGGTTTCTGAAAGTTTTGGCATACCTCAGAAAAAATGGATGTGTGTGTGTGTGTATGTATGTATGGATACAAATTTCCAGTCACGTTTTCGGGCGCACGGATAAACCGATTTGAATGGTTCAAACAACATTCGATTCCTATTGATAGGGAAAAGAGCTGATTAGTTTTGGGCGAAGGCAGGTCCAGCCGTTTCGGAGATACGGAGCAAAGAGTGCAGAAAATAGAAATCGACTTTTTGAGAGAACGGAGTATCCGATTTGAATGATCTAAAAAACATTCAATTAGTAATGATTGGGAGAAGCGTCTATTAGTTTTTGGCAAAGGCAGGCCCAGCCATTTCAAAGATACGGAGCTAAATATGTAAAAAATGGCAGTTTTTGAAAGAACTAAGCGTCCGATTGATTCAAAGAACTTATTTTAATAAAATAATTGATTTTGGAATATATATATATATATATATATATATATATATATATATTTAGTTTTTCTTGTATATCGAAAATAATTCAGATTTTATTTTTATTCTGACTAAAGTTCTAATATAACTTAAACAAATAATTTTAAATTTGCTATTCAGTTTATCTTATAAATATTAGACAATGTTACAATATTTATAATAATCTATTTGAAAACATTCAGTATTCCTCGAACATTTCGTTACGGTACGGGAAGTTCCAGCAATTTGCCTTAAGGCACGATGCCACTCACCCCACTAGTTATTGATTAAATCGATTATTTATACATATCGGGAAGTTCATGTAACTAGCCTCAAGGCAAAATACCAATACCAACTAGTTTTAGTTATTTTCCTAATGCAGTAAAGTAATACCAAAGGTTTTGAGGCTTTATTGTAGTGCAGTCGTGGCCAGTGGTTAAGGCGTTTGACTAGAAATCAGATTCCCTCTGGGAGCGTAGGTTCGAATCCTACCGATTGCGGTTGGTTATATTTAAACAAATTACATATGTAAGTGATTTTTCTAATGCTGTAGAGCAATACAAACGGCATTCAAACTTATTTCGTAAACGAGTCATGATTGAGTGGTTGTGGTCGCTGATTCGAAGGTAGATTTTCTCTGGGAGCGCGGGTTCGAGTGTTTTATTAAATTGTTTTTTTAGCTACTTTTCAAAAGCAGTGCAGTAATACTAAAAGTTTTTAGAGATTTTTGCTGAGCAGTCGTGGCAGAGTGGTTAAGGCGTCTGACTAGAAATCAGATTCCCTCTGGGAGCGTAGGTTCGAATCCTACCGACTGCGGTTGGTTATGTTTTAACAAACTATATTTTTAAGTGATTTTTCTAATGCAGTCATGGTTCTGTGGTTGTGGTCTCTGGCTCGAGGTCAGATTTTCTCTGGTAGCACGGGTTGGAATGCTATATCAAATATTTTTTTAGTTTTTTTTCTAATCCAATATAGTAATATTAAAGGTTTTAAGAATTAATTGTAAAGCAGCCGTGGCCGAGTGGTTAAGGCGTCTGACTAGAAGTCAGATTCCCTCTGGGAGCGTCGGTTCAAGTCCTGGCGACTGCGCTTGGTTAAATTTTTATACAAAATATATTTTTAAGTGGTCTCTGCTTCGAAGTCAGATTTTCTCTGGTAGCACGGGTTGGAATGCTATATAAATATTTTTTAGAGTTCTTTTTCTTATCCAGTATAATAATATTAAAGGTTTTTAGAATTAATAGTAGAGCAGTCTTGGCCGAGTGGTTAAGGCGTCTGACTAGAAATCATGTTCCCTCTGTGAGCGTAGGTTCGAATCCTACCGACTGCGGCTGGTTGTATTTGAACAAATTACATATGTAAGTGATTTTTCTAATGCAGTAGAGCAATACTAACGGCATTCAAACTTATTTCGTAAACGAGTCATAATTGAGTGGTTGTTGTCTCTGGTTCGAAGGTAGATTTTCTCGTAAAAATTACATTTTTTTAGTTACTTTTCTAAAGCAGTGCAGCAATACCAAAAGTTTTTAGAGACTTTTGCAGAGCAGTTGTGACCGAGTGGTTAAGGCGTCTGACTAAAATTCAGATTCCCTTTGGGAGCGTAGGGTCGAATCTTGCCGACAGCGCTTGGTTGAATTTTTATACAAACTATAATTTTAAGTGGTCTCTGCTTCGAAGTCAGATTTCCTCTGGCAGCACGGGTTTGAATGTTATATCAATTAATATTTTTCCAGAGTTTTTTTTACTAATACCACATAGTAATACTGACGGTTTTCAGGTTTGGTTGTAGAGCAGTCGTGGCCGAGTGGTTAAGGCGTCTGACTAGAAATCAGATTCCCTCTGGGAGCGTAGGTTCGAATCCTACCGACTGCGCTTGGGTATATTTGAACAAACTGTATTTTTAATTGATTTTTCAATGCGGTCATGATTCTGTGGTTGTGGTCTCTGGTTTAAAGTCAGATTTCTTCTAGCAGCACGGGATTAAATGTTACAACACATTTTTTTTGTTTTTTTTTTCTAATGCAGTACAGTAATACCAAAGGTGTTCAGAATTCTTTCTATGAGCAGTCGTGGCCGAGTGGTTAAGGCGTCTGACTTGAAATCAGATTCCCTCTGGGAGCGTAGGTTCGAATCCTACCGACTGCGTTTGGTTGCTTTTTAACAAACTATATTTTTAAGTGGTCTCTGCTTCGAAGTCAGATTTCCTCTGGCAGCACGGGTTCGACTGTTATATCAATTAATATTTTTCCAGTTTTTTTACTAATATCACATAGTAATACTAAAGTTTTTCAGATTTGATTGTAGAGCAGTCGTGGCCGAGTGGTTAAGGCGTCTGACTCGAAATCAGATTCCCTCTGGGAGCGTAGGTTCGAATCCTACCGACTGCGGTTGGTTATATTTGAACAAACTATATTTTTAAGTGATTTTTCTAATGCAGTCATGGTTCTGTGGTTGTCGTCTCTGGCTCGAAGTCAGATTTTCTCTGGTAGCGCGGGTTGGAATGCTATATCAAATATTTTTTGAGTTCTTTTTCTAATCCAGTATAGTAATATTAAAGGTTTTTACAATTAATTGTGTAGCAGTCGTGGCCGAGTGGTTAAGGCGTCTGACTCGAAATCAGATCCCCTCTGGGAGCGTAGGTTCGAATCCTGCCAACTGCGTTTGGTTGAATTTTTATACAAACTATATTTTTAAGTGGTCTCTGCTTCGAAGTCAGATTTCCTCTGGCAGCACGGGTTCGACTGTTATATCAATTAATATTTTTCCAGAGTTCTTTTACTAATACCACATAGTAATACTGAAGGTTTTCAGATTTGATTGTAGAGCAGTCGTGGCCGAGTGGTTAAGGCGTCTGACTAGAAATCAGATTCCCTCTGGGAGCGTAGGTTCGAATCCTACCGACTGCGGTTGGTTATATTTGAACAAACTATATTTTTAAGTGGTCTCTGCTTCGAAGTCAGATTTCCTCTGGCAACACGGGTTCGAATGTTATATCAATTAATATTTTTCCAGAGTTCTTTTACTAATACCACATAGTAAGACTAAAGGTTTTCAGATTTGATTGTAGAGCAGTCGTGGCCGAGTGGTTAAGGCGTCTGACTAGAAATCAGATTCCCTCTGGGAGCGTAGGTTCGAATCCTTATATTTAAACAAACTATATTTTTAAGTGATTTTTCTAATGCAGTCATGGTTCTGTGGTTGTGGTCTCTGGCTCGAAGTCAGATTTTCTCTGGTAGCACGGGTTGTTAAATCAAATATTTTTTAGAGTTCTTTTCCTAATCCAGTATAGTAATATTAAAGGTTTTTAGAATTAATTGTGGAGCAGTCGTGGTCGAGTGGTTAAGGCGTCCGACTCGAAATCAGATTCCCTCTGGGAGCGTAGGTTCGAATCCTGCCGACTGCGCTTGGTTAAATTTTTATACAAACTATATTTTTAAGTGGACTGCGATTGGTTGAATTTTTATACAAACTATATTTTTAAGTGGTCTCTTCTTCGAAGTCAGATTTCCTCTGGCAGCACGGGTTCGACTGTTATATCAATTAATATTTTTCCAGTTATTTTACTAATACCACATAGTAATACTAAAGCTTTTCAGATTTGATTGTAGAGCAGTCGTGGCCGAGTGGTTAAGGCGTCTGACTAGAAATCAGATTCCCTCTGGGAGCGTAGGTTCGAATCCTACCGACTGCGATTGGTTATATTTGAACAAACTATATTTTTAAGTGGTCTCTGCTTCGAAGTCAGATTTCCTCTGGCAGCACGGGTTCAAATGTTATATCAATTAATATTTTTCCAGAGTTCTTTTACTAATACCACATAGTAATACTAAAGGTTTACAGATTTGATTGTAGAGCAGTCGTGGTCGAGTGGTTAAGGCGTCTGACTAGAAATCAGATTCACTCTGGGAGCGTAGGTTCGAATCCTACCGACTGCGGTTGGTTATATTTGAACAAACTATATTTTTAAGTGATTTTGCTAATGCAGTCATGGTTCTGTGGTTGTGGTCTCTGGCTCGAAGTCAGATTTTCTCTGGTAGCACGGGTTGTCAAATCAAATATTTTTTAGAGTTCTTTTCCTAATCCAGTATAGTAATATTAAAGGTTTTTAGAATTAATTGTGGAGCAGTCGTGGCCGAGTGGTTAAGGCGTCTGACTAGAAATCAGATTCCCTCTGGGAGCGTAGGTTCGAATCCTACCGACTGCGGTTGGTTATATTTGAACAAATTACTATGTAAGTGATTTTTCTAATGCAATACTAACGGCATTCAAACTTATTTGGTAAAAGAGTCGTGATTGAGATGTTGTGGTCTCTGATTCGAAGGTAGATTTTCTCGTAGAAATTATATTTTTTTAGTTACTTTTCTAAAGCAGTGCAGTAATACAAAATGGTTTTAGAGACTTTTGCAGAGCAGTCGTGGCCGAGTGGTTAAGCGTAGGTTCGAATCCTGCCGACTGCGATTGTTTGAATTTTTATACAAACTCTGTTTTTAAGTGGTCTCTGCTTCGAAGTCAGATTTCCTCTGGCAGCACGGGTTTGACTGTTATATCAATTAATATTTTTCCAGATATTTTACTAATACCACATAGTAATACTAAAGGTTTTCATATTTGATTGTAGAGCAGTCGTGGCCGAGTGGTTAAGGCGTCTAACTAGAAATCAGATTCCCTCCGGGAGCGTAGGCTCAAATCCTGCCGACTGCGGTTGGGTATAATCAAACTTATGTCGTAAACGAGTCATGATTGAGTGGTTGTGGTTTCTGATTTGAAGGTAGATTTTCTCGTAGAAATTATATTTTTTTAGTTACTATTCTAAAGCAGTGCAGTAATACCAAAAGTTTTTAGAGACTTTTGCAGAGCAGCCGTGGCCGAGTGGTTAAGGCGTCTGACTTGAAATCAGATTCCCTCTGGGAGCGTAGGTTCGAATCCTGCCGACTGCGCTTGGTAAAATTTTTATACAAACTATATTTTTAAGTGGTCTCTGCTTCGAAGTCAGATTTCCTCTGGCAGCATGGGTTCGAATGTTATATCAATTAATATTTTTCCAGAGTTCTTTTACTAATACCACATAGTAATACTAAAGGTTTTCAGATTTGATTGTAGAGCGGTCGTGGCCGAGTGGTTAAGGCGTCTGACTAGAAATCAGATACTCTCTGGGAGCGTAGGTTCGAATCCTACCGACTGCGGTTGGTTGTATTTGAACAAACTATATTTTTAAGTGATTTTTCTAATGCAGTCATGGTTCTGTGGTTGTGGTCTCTGGCTCGAAGTCAGATTTTCTCTGGTAGCGCGGGTTGTCAAATCAAATATTTTTTAGAGTTCTTTTCCTAATCCAGTCAATCAATGCGGTCATGATTCTGTGGTTGTGGTCTCTGGTTTGAAGTCAGTATTCTTCTAGCAGCACGGGATTAAATGTTACAACACATTTTTTTGTTTTTTTTTCTAATGCAGTACAGTAATACCAAAGGTGTTCAGAGTTCTTTCTATGAGCAGTCGTGGCCGAGTGGTTAAGGCGTCTGACTTGAAATCAGATTCCCTCTGGGAGCGTAGGTTCGAATCCTACCGACTGCGTTTGGTTGCTTTTTAACTATATTATATACAAACTATATTTTTAAGTGGTCTCTGCTTCGAAGTCAGATTTCCTCTGGCAGCACGGGTTCGACTGTTATATCAATTAATATTTTTTCCAGTTTTTTTTACTAATATCACA